CTCCGCCGTGAGCGAGAGCCCCTCCACCTGCTCGATCAGGTCGTTTGGCATGAGGCCAGCCAGCGCCGCGGGAGAGCCAGAGGCGACCGAGATGACGCGGTTCTTGCGGTCGACGCGGAGGCCGACCTTGGTGAACTCGGGGATCTCGAGGCGAAGGTGAGAGGGAGTCGCTCATGAGAAGAATTTCGAGGCTACGCAGAGATCACGCACGTTGGCACACGCAGAGATGCTGTTAGTCAATGCATCCTATCCAACTGAAAGTTGTGTTAATTCTATCGCATTTCTTCGATTGACCAGTGTTACAACCAGGTCGAGCACGCCTCGAGCCGCGCGCTCGTCCGGGAAGCATCCGCACATCAGGACCCGTCGTAGAATGTTCAGGCCTGGACGGTGCGTCGAGGGCGCTAATTTTGAGCAGGACGGCGGCTATGTGTGAGCAGTGATCCCGAGGACCTCTCGCTGAGGACCTCTCCCCCCCTGAGGACCTCTCTCCCCGTGAGGACCTCTGGTGGTTGAGGACCTCTCCCATGAGGACCTCTGGCTGATCACCTCTACTCGAGTACCTTTTTCACATGTGATTACCACGCCTCTTACGCCACGAAGCTTGCTCGCACCTGGGTTCGTAAGGGGAAAACACAGACCGCACATCGACCAGTCCAGGCTAACAAGCCACCCTCAAGGCCAGGTAAAAACTAGAGTGGAACCCTCGAGACGAGAACAAATGTGTTACTTGTAATCTAATTGCGCGGACGGGTAGTGCTGCAGGAATACGAACTCGTATTCCCCGGTATCTCCCGTGCATCTCGTATCTCCCGGTATCTCCCAGTATCTCCCCCAGTATCCCGCGCCTTCCCGCGGTGGTATCCCGCCATATCTCGCCGCGGATACCGTGAAAAAATCGTCCAGACCAGGGGTTTACGCACCTTTCCAGAAACGTACTGGTAGTCCAAACTGCACTTCGTCGGAGATCAACGCAAACACATCAAAGAATCCTAAATTAATTGATCAATTGATGTAGGATGCGTCGGTGCGTCAGTCCCGCGTTGAAGTCCTACAAAGACATGCGTTTGTATTAAAATGAACTCGGGGGCACGGGATGCGGCACAAAAAGGGCACAATGCGTTTGTTCTTGGGCTTTGTAATCTCTCACAACAACGCCGTTTGTTTCTGGAAAGGGACGTTCGTAACACACCAAGACCCGCGACATTTCTGCAGGACCGACCCGCACATACCATTTCGACTGACCTTGATATTATCTAAGATCATGCTTGCTTGAAGTGAGGTTTCCAAGTGCAAGCTGTTTCCAACCAAGGGCTTAGTAGTAACCTATTCGGTGCACCCTCCTGTGCACTGTGCTGCACCTCGCGAAGCCAGGTGCGCCAGCACGCTCCTCATGAGAGTGGTCACAACAAAAATAGAGGTGATCAACCAGAGGTCCTCACGGGAGAGCAGAGGTCCTCACCGGGAGAGGTCCTCATCAAGGGAACAGAGGTCCTCAACCACAGAGGTCCTCAGGAACACCGCTCACTCGCATAGCCGCCGTCCTGCCACTTCAAATCAGCGTGTCCTCGATGCACCGTCCAGGCCTGACCAATTTACAGGGCCTCGCTCTCGACTGCTCTTCTGTGGATGCTTCTCGGACGAGCGGCGCGCGCCGGCGCGCATATGCTCTCGCGTCTCGACCTGGTAATCTAAGACAAGGGGATGGATCAAAGACATTTCACTTGGAAACCTCACTTCAAGTGCAAGCTGTGGTTGAGGACCTCCTCTGTTCCCTTGAGGACCTCTCCCTGTGAGGACCTCTGCGTGGAGGACCTCTCCCGTGAGGACCTCTGCCGTAGAGCCCTCTGGTTGATCACCTCTCTATTTTTGTACCACTCTCACGAGGAGCGTGTGCATGTAATTGTGCGCAGGGTTCGGCGCACACAGATCACCCCTCCAAGGGCTTCGGGAACCTGTTCCCTTTTACCCATCTCACAGTAGAGGTGTCCGTTTTAGTTGTTTATTTCCTCCGCGTCCGCCGGTTGCGACGCGTGAGCCCGGCCGGCAAGCTCCAGAGTTTCAGGCAGAGAGCTCCACGCCTCCGCGCGTGCGAGGGGCGGTGCGTCGGTCCACACGCAAAGCCACTGCCCTCCCTCCGCCTCCGCCCCTCGGCCCGCCGGGCCCTCGCCGGCGGGTGCGCAAGGCTGCCGGCTGCTCCTCGCGCC